TGCAGAAATCTCTTCTCCTCTTCCATAAGTGGATACTCTAACAATTTGATTTCTAGCCAGGCCTCAGACAGTTTCCTATTTTAATTTGATACGGTACCCACAGATTCACAATATTCTTGTGCTGTTACACTAAAACAATACAGCTATTTAAACGGTGCCCAACCCAGCTTTAACACCATACCCTTTACGGCTGCCTCCTTAGCTCTTACAGAAAAATGAAGCTGATCTCAAATTTAAGATTTTCGGCCTGCTGGAACTGTTATATACTTGATACATTACTTACACATGCCACTTATAAAAAATTAAACCCCAAGCCAAAGGCGTCTCCTTCGCTCCCACATGGCTGTAGTTGAAGAAGATGTCATTGACCATAAAGAAGCAAATAAAACGTTTTGCCTTAAAGCTACAGTGCTTCACACCAAAAAGACTTACATTTCTTACCAAACGTGACTGCTTTAAATTCATGATTTTATTGTAACTGAAGATATTTTTATTCTAAACCTGGCCAATTACAATAGCTACGGGTGGCGGTCCTATGCAGTGATGACTTGTGAGGACCACAAAGGTACAGTCTGACTAATGCCATCCGGGAACCTGAGCACTGAGGAACACCAGCCTGCGTCTTCTTTGTGAACACACTTTTAAGTTGTTTTTCTGAGGTAGACGTTACTTGAAATTTAAATAAATAATTTAGGGCCTACAAAAACTTTGGCCTGGACTTTGAAATGCCAGCTGTGTGTAGAGGAAATGCCAGCCGTAGAAATGAGAGAATGTGCAGCCCACAGCAAGCTTCCCGCTACTGCCTTTGCCACATGCAATATGAGAAGGATGAAGGAGTTAGGTCAGTCTCCAGAAGCGCTCAGTTCCCAACACATCTGGTAAGACTGGCAGGAAGGATACACCAATAATGGCGATGTTGGCTTATTTATCAACCACAAACTCATTTCAGTATCAACAAGCAAGTTAGAGTCAGTCAAAACAACTGCCAGGAGGTCTCCATCTGAAAGGGTTTTCATAGCATTCAAGCCATGTAAAGACACATAGTCTAAATAAGGGGCAATGTTGATGAGGCTGCTGTACGAGGGTGGGGGTCAAAGCCTGTATAACTTATTCCAAATGCCGGTATACCTAGTCCTTTCCAGAACGCTAACCAAAAATATTAATCTTTAAGACATCTTTGCAGAATTACTTACAATGAGAAATAAATGTCTTCAGTGGTTTTAATGCATCATCATAGGAAAGCTTTAAAATGAATAGACTTGACATTATAATCATGTTTGTATTGTTAAAACTGCTGACAAGACCAATAAACCAAGGTGGACTAGAAAGGCAGCAAAGTATCACTGATAGATTTCTGGGGGATAAAGATTCGAACAGCCTCCTGCTGTGGACAAGCTTGATTTTGCTGATATGCATATTAAAAATGTCCCATAAAGTTAACAGAGGCTTTCAATTCTCAGGAAGGACAAAGCTGTCCCGTGTTAAAACACAGGTTGCTACTGGTAGATTCTTGAATAGGAACTCACCCAAACCTGGGTCTAGTCCCCAGCTATAGCCCTGTGTTGATCACAAGTCTATCAAATGCTGATTGGTTGATATTACTTTAGAATGTGTTGAGCAGGCAGTTTTCTTGGCTTTGAATGGCTCTTCTTACAATTTTACAGAAAACACTAGTACCTCCCATAGTAATTGCTGTCTCCCCCGTGCAATTACATAGAAATATCAGACACTCCTAACACCAGAACAATCAAAGCTGAACAGAATTTTATTTCCAAGGAGGAAGAATTAAGCTAATGGTGACAGACAGACGGTGTTGGTAGGATGTCTCTGCTAGGCCTTGACAGGGGGCTGTAGGCAGGCACAGGACTAATTTGTTGACACCTTGGATTCATGGATTTCTACTCCTAGTAATGTGACTGGGAACTGAGGAAGAGGTGATGTAAAACGGGGCCCTTCTGTAAGACGGTTTGAAGGACACATGGATAAAATGATTGGCGACTTTGTCAGTATGTCCATGTCTCTCAAGTTATTCCTTCATATGAGTGTTTATGATGCTTAGAACAATATTTCTTATGTGGCTAAAGTACTATATAATCAGGAATCCCCAGCTACCAAGGCTGTTGCATGAAGGATCCTAAAGGGTTTCGTGGACAAACCCAGGGGGTGAAACACAGCCTTAATGAAAGCAGCTTGCAGCTCCCAGAGACTCGGGAGAACTGTGTCTTTTTACATCAGGATTGAATTTGGTCCAAAGTGTAGAAAACTTGTGTTGTGCCTCAGAGCTAACTGGGGATTTGTGGCTCTCTATCTCTCAGTTGGGAAAGGTCAGCTTTGAGATTTCCAGGTCAGAACTGCTTGACAAGGATTTAGTGTAAACTACATCTTGGGACATGCTAACAGGCTTTCTTGTTTAAAGGCAATGCTGTAACTGTAAAGAGAGGTTAAGAGGGCAAAACTGGGAGGAAAAAGAAGATGATTCGTTTAAGTGATTTATCCTTACACTTCAAGACTCCCAAGATTTAGAAGAGGGTTCCTCTTGCTGCATGAGGCATGACTGACCTATCTTTCCATTATTGCACTGCTGAGTTATTACAGTTTTGAAATGTAAATAGGAAAGACTTCATAATCTATGGGGTAATCCGCACAGGCTAATTTGTACCTTCCTGGAAAGTCTAAATCCTTGCTCGGTTAAACAGGGCATTGTGGAAGCTTGGCCAACTTTTTCTGTCATTTGGGAAATCAAAGGCAACACGAGAGATGAGCAGTAAGACGCACCATTTAATTACTGCTAACCCTTCTAAGCATTCCTGTTTTTCCTAGGCTATATGGCTGGACAATTGGAATTATGCTGTAGCATGGGAGAGCATTACACTGGCCTCTTGTGCACCATATGCCTTTTCATTGATGAACTAACACTTTTTTAATGAGGGTTTCTAAGGTTGTTATCCAAACTACAATCCTTATCTCAGATCTCATCTTTAGCACCTCTCCCAGAGGTATCTGGGAGTTTGGACCCAGACCTATATGTGAATCCAGGGCTTGACCAGATCCCAGTGAAGTCAATAAAAATATTGTTGGTGATGAACAGATATCTACAAGGCTCAAATGAAAAGTAAAAGCCATCCAAGAAAATGTGGGAGACAAATTACAGGTTTTTATTTTTAATCAAAATATGCCTTCTTCTTCTCTCTTAAATACTCTCCTCCCTTTAATTTTTTTTTTTTTTTACTATCTTAACTTTATAACTAAAGTAACTGAGAAAATGCTTAAATTTTAAAATGTTGAATAGTCCTGGACCAATGTCCCATTAAAATGTCATGTGACCTTCTTGATATATAACTTTTCATTTTGGAGCTTACTTAATCCAGTTGAGAATTTTTGGTGATGATAAAATACTGAAATCTAGAGACAGAAATACCAGGAGCTTGAGAAGTGAACTTTTGCTCGCAGGTGTCAACATTTCTGGAAAAATGGAAAAAGAAGAACACCTGAAAAACTTTGGTGCGCTAAATATTTCATAAGCATCACCTCGGGGTCATGTTAATATAATCATTTATGCAGGAATATCAATTTTTGAAACGTTTGTTGCGTTAGTTAACCTGTTCTTTACAGAAGCATCAGGCTCTCGAAGCGGGCTCGGGGAGGTACCGAGGCGGGTGCTGGTCTGCCATCCCCTGCACGTCCCACCACCACGGTCCTGCTTCTGCCAAGTGCCAGGGGTGCGCACGCCGTTCCCTTGCGGGCAGCGTGGCCGGGCCCAGGTGCTGCTCGCGGGCTGGGACGAGGCTGGAGAAGAGCTGCATCCCCTCCGGAGCCCTGGAGCTAGGGAGCACCTGTTCCCGGCACCCGTCTGGGGACACGGAGAGGCAGCGGGAGATGTAATAAGCACTCTCATCTCCCACGCGTCCGTGTTCGACTCAGGGCAAGACGAGGCTCCTGGTGATGCTGGGTCACGCACCTCGGCAGGAGGGCAGCCAGCCGGGGTCCCGCTCCTCTCACCTTCCCGGAGCCCAGGCTGCCTTCCAGCCCTTGGTCTCGGCAGCGAGCGAGCCCTCTGCCAACCTCCTCTCGCTCTCCGGGCAGCGTGAAAGGTGGGAAGGGCAGATGAAAAAGCAAATGCAGACATCTGCCCTTTGCGGTGTCCCTGCCCGAGCACCGAGCGGGGGAAGAAAGGCAAGGGGATAGGGCGAGTGGATGTGTGTGTCAGTCGTCGGGGGGATGATCTAAGTATCTGGAGTCATGCAAAAAGGTCAAAGCAAGCATTAACTCTTCCCCGCCCTCCCTCCTCCTCGGGGGCTCGGGGGAAATCGCAGTCCGCCCAAACTAGATGACAGCTTGCCGGGACTTAATGACAGGCTGGGTGCAGACGAGCCGCGGCCGCCCAGACAAAGGGAGGAAGTTTGGTGCTGCCGCCGACCCGAGAGAGGGGCAGGGGCCGGGGCCGAGCCGGGACACGGGGGGCAGCGGTGGGGCGCGTCCCACCCCCCCACCCCCCCACCCCCCCCGCCGGCCCGGCGCAGCCGCTCCGCTCCCCCCGGCCGGTTCCCTCCCCCCCGGGAGAGCGCCGGGAGCAAACCTGCCTCCGCGCCGGCACACAAACCTGCCCCCCTCCGCGCCGGCACACAAACCTGCCCCCCTCCGCGCCGGCACACAAACCTGCCCCCCTCCGCGCCGGCACACGGCGAACCGAGCGGCAGCGGCCGGCGGGGGAGCGGGGGAAGCGGGCAGGACGGGAGGTAAGCGCCGCTCCACCGGCCCCGGCCCGCGGTCACATCGCAAACCCCCGGGTGACTCTGTGGCTTTAAGCGGTTCGAGGGAAATCTTGCGTTTTTCACACACAAACTTTTTTTTTTTTTTTTTTTTTTTTTTTTTCTCCCGGTCTCGCTCCCCTCCCCGGTTTCCTCCCGCTCTTCCCCTCTCCTGCCTCCCTCTCCCCCTCTCCCTTTCTCCTCCCCCCGCGGCTCCCCCTCTCCCTTTCCCCCTCCCCTCAAGTTTCTCCCTCTGTCTGATTAAATGAGAAGGAAGTGTGGGAGTGGTGGTTTTGAAGCTCTCCCTTTAAGAGGCAGCCTGCAGTGACGAATTGTTGAAATTGCCATTGCAGGATGGCATTCCGCTATAAATTCATTGTTCCACCTCCTCTCATCTTCACATTTCTCTCCCTTCTCCTCTTGTTCACATCGACAGACTGGGGATAACAACAACAACAACAGAAAAGATACAGGGAGGGGGCTTTTACAAAAATCCGGGACGTTTTCCGCTTCTTTGGCATTTTTTTTCTTGCGGTTTTTTTTTTTTTTTTTTCTTTTTAACCATCTCACCGGAGACGATCGAGGCGGTTTTTGGTGCCTGAATTTCTTCTTTCCCCTTTTCCTCCTTCTCTTCAAAACAAAAGGGGGCAAAAGAAGGAAAGGGAGCCCACCGGAGCCCGAGAAAGTGGTGCGGAGTCGCAGCAGACCTGCCCCTTGCCCCTGCCGCTGCTGCTGGTGATGATCCGGTGACTACAGCAGAGAAGTAGAAGAGGAGTGGGAAGTGCTCAAACTTCTCTACTTGCCGGGTCCGAGCCTCCTCTCCTCCTTTTTCTCCCTCCCCCCCACCTTCGCCTCCCCAGCAGCAGTGATTTGGGATTTTTTTTTTTTTTGCCTCTCTCTCCTTCCATGTGCTCCCGGCTCTCCCCTGCAGAGAAACACAAAGTTCACACGCGAGCGGCTTTTGTTGACATTTTTTTCTCTCCCACTCACACTTGACTCGAGTTTGGGAGGGAAAACTTTCTTTTCTTTTTTTTTTTTTTTTTTTTTTTTTTTTTTTCCTATTTTACCCCTTCCTTCCCCCTCCTCCCCTTCCCTTTAACCACGTCGCTGCACTCCGCCGACCGGCTCTTTCCACCCCCCCCACTCCCCAACTCTCGTTGTTATTATTGTTATTATTATTATTACTACTACTACTCCTGTTAATTACCACCACGGCTGCGGCCGCCCCTGAAGGCGAGGCCAGCATGCTGCTCCGGCTGCTCTCCCTGCTGCTGGCCGCCGCGCTGCACCTCGCCCTGGCCCAGCCGCCGGCACCTGCCGCCGCCCGAGCGCCGCCGCCCCCCGCTGCCGCCGCCCCGGCCCCGGCCCCGGCCCCGCCGCCGCCCCGGCCCCGGCCCCGGCCCCGGCCCGGCCCCCCCCCCGGGCCGCCCCGCGGGGCCAGCGGCGTCGTGCGGCGCCTCGACCCGACCTACGCGGGGGACGGCAAGGCGGGCTACGTCCTCTACGCCGGGGGCCAGCGCTTCCTCCTCGACCTGGAGCGGGACGCGGCGGTGGGGCCGCGGGCGCCGCGGGCCGGCGGGCCGCCGCGCTGCTACTACCGCGGCACGGTGGACGGCAGCCCGCGCTCCCTGGCCGTCTTCAACCTCTGCGGCGGCCTCGACGGCTTCTTCGCCGTGGGCCGCTCCCGCTACACCGTCCGGCCGGCGCGGCGCGGCGGGGAGGCGGCCGGCCCGCGGATCTACGGGGAGGGCCCGGCCCGCGCCCCGCACCTCTTCCGCAGGGACCGCTTCAGCTTCGAGACGGTGCCGGCCCGCACCAGCTGCGAGACCCGCGACCCGGCGGCGGCGGCGGCGGCGGCGGCGGCGGGGGGGAACGGCCGGCGGCGGCGGCGGCGGCGGCGTCGCTCCGTCTCCCGGGCCCGGCAGGTGGAGCTGCTGCTGGTGGCCGACGCCTCCATGGTCCGCAAGTACGGGAAGGGGCTGCAGCACTACCTGCTCACCTTGGCCTCCATCGCCTCCCGGCTCTACGCCCACGCCAGCCTGGAGAACCACGTCCGGCTGGCCGTGGTGAAGGTGGTGGCCCTGGGAGAGAAGGAGAAGGGGCTGGAGGTCAACAGGAACGCCGCCACCACCCTCAAGAACTTCTGCAAGTGGCAGCACCAGCACAACCGCCTCGACGACGACCACGACGAGCACTATGATGCCGCCATCCTCTTCACCCGCGAGGTAGGCATCACCCCGGCCGGCAGCGACCTGGTCTCCCTTTCGAGCGATGTGTCTGTGGGGTGGTGGGGCTGCAGCGAGGCCCGGCGGCCTTCCCGCCGCGTTTGCCTCCCCGCTTCGCCCGGTGGGAGCTGCCTCCCCGCTCACGCCTTTGGCTTCGCCTTTGGGTTGCAGCACATCTCGGGGACCGGCACCCACGCGCGCGGCAGTCGGGGATGGCAGGGGGGTTGAAAACCCAACAACTGGTGTGCGCCCCCCTCCCCTGCGAGGTCACCCCCACTGCGGGTACACAAGTCGTTCCTGCCAGTGCGGTGCTGGGACTCCTGCCGCGGTGCAGAGGTGGTCGTTTGCCTGGTCAGGGGACTCAGCTGAGGCCACCCAACTTATCCCTGCTTAAGAGGTGACATTGTTCCGTCTTCCACTGCTAGATGTTTCACACACAGCCCCTCTCTCTCCGTGGAGGTGGTCCAAGCAAAAAGGGCTGATAGCGTTCCTTAGCCCCTAGACAAACCTGCTAGTGGAAATGGTGAACACCTTAAAAGTACACGCAACTTCCTTGTTGAGTGCGTTGAGATGCTATTTCCAGCAAGAATAGCTCCACCGCACTGGAAGCTGTCAGCGCTTGTGGTTCAAGGGTAGGACGTAAATGCAAACCGCAGGTAAACAGAGCTGCAGAAGTTGAGTGAGTTGGGCTGGTGGTAAGGGGGATGCAGTCTCTTTCTCGTTCCCAAAGTGAAAAATAGGTGTCCTCATCAACTGTGGGTTGGATCCGGCCGGTATTACCCATGCAGAGCTGTGCCTTGCTCCCTGCCTGGTTGTTAATTAATTGCATTGCCAGAGGTCGTTAAGGGACATTGCTCTAGTAGACATGTGGCCGAGTTTATGCAATGAAGTTCTTCTGTAAGAATATCCCTTTGGCGGTTTGGGTTTGGTGTTTTCTTTTTCTCCCTTCCCCAAGTATGAAAAAAATAACTGCATGACTTTCCGTTCGTTTGAGTTCTCCTGCTTTTCTACATCATAGGAGCCTGCCAAAAAGGATGCTTTGGATGGTTTGTGGAAGGACTTGCTCCAGAAGGGGGAAAAAAAGTGCCTGGCTTGCTTTTCTAGCTGTAAATAGTTGAAACATTAGGTTCTGTGTCAGTCAGGCATCACTTGTACAGCAGGAGCCTTTTTTTAGCATTTTAAAGCCCATCAGTCTGATTTGCAAGCTTTCATTTTTTTTATCATTATAACCTGAATGAAAGCAGGCTACCTCGGCTGGGTCAGAATGCTCTTTCCTTTTGCTATAAACATCCTTTCTAATGGTTTATTAATTAAGCCTTGGCCAGAATCCGTCACTTTTCACTGAAGAGTGTTTTTCTCTGCCAGTATTCCCATTTATTTCCCTGGGATTTATTACAGTTCAGAAACTCTTAGGGTGGCAGACTGTGAATCTTAACATCAATTATTAAGTTAATTTGGATTGTGAGAGGATGTGAATTTAAAGTGCACTTACTTTACAGATGCTTATCTGTAATTCTTTTCATGGATGCCCTCCTGCCAGAATAAGAGCATGCTGCTAATCAGTAATCTGTTTTCAAAGACTCCTGAGCAATGCATCTTCCATGTGTAGAGTTACTTCTTTTGGACGTAAGTAGTACCTAAAGTAAACAAAATGTCACAGTTCCTGTGGTCTCCATCCACTCTTAAGATGCAAATATTGCTCGCACTGTTACTTAGGGTTGTAAATGCTTTGCAAGAAAAAAAGAACAGGCTTCTGTTTTCTTGGTATTACATTTTGACACTTTTAACTATGGGATTAGCTCCTCGGTGCAGTTCAGTATAACTTAATCTGCCTTAATGATTTGCTGCATGCACACGCACATTGTTTGGCATTACATTCCAGTATTTGACTCAATGAGAGCAAGACTGTAGTTTCTTGCTACATGTGTTCATGATGTTCTCTTTAGGGAGGATGTGTGAGTCCACACGTTTTTTTATATGCTTACACTTGAAATGTCAACATGAATCTATTTGCTCCTCTTGGAATGTAAACACAAAAAGGGTTAAAGGATGAAAAAGCAGTAGAGATGTTTCCCAGCGAAAACAGCCCCACTTTGAACTAAAGAGAGATTTTTTCCAGTTTAGCTTTTCAATGAGAGTGGCAGCAATTGGCAGGAGGATCCAAGTTTTACAACTGTGTTTTGAATGTATGAAGTACGTTGCTTAGCTACTAGACGCCGAGCCATGGCTGCATGTTTTGATGGGCTCTGAATACCGTCATGCTAATTTTTGAACATCCAGATGTCTTCTTCTAAATGGCTTGTTTTTAGGCATGGGGCAAATGTGTGAGGTACATTTTCCATCTTTGTTTACTAACTGAGGCCACCTTGAACTTTGTGCCTCTGCGTCAACAGAATAATATTTGCAAATCGTTTGTCAGCTGAACGCATGTCCTCAGCTGTATGTAACTGTTTATGTGTAGTTAGAATCTAAATTCTGCATGCCTGTTGCCATACAAGTCTCTAATATAATAATAACAATCTTCGTTCTGGAGTGACATTTACTTGGATGTTATTTTTAACACTGAGAGAGGCTCTCTGAAAAGATAGTAGCTTTACTTGAGTTCCTTATAAAGGAAGAATCCCTTCAGAACTCAGCACTGTTGCTTCCTCCTCTTCTGTTGTCATTACTTGTTTAAAGATAAATTAGTAACCATTGATAGACTAAGAGTGTGCTGGCAGCTCTACCTTATTATAAAATTAGTACTGGCAGTTCAAATTATGATCATCATCATCATTCCTACTAGGAAGTACTTCCCATTCACAAATAGTTTTAGAAGATATATTGACTCTGCATTAAAACATCCATTCACTTTCAGTCATAATCTGTATTTAAGTTGATAAGGTCTTTAAAGCAATCATGCTGCAGAGCACAGCAAATAGTGAATAAATAGGAACATGAACTCAGTTTTGGGCGATACAGGCAACATGTTAGAGCTATTTAAAGGCTCTATATTGCTTATCGGTGAGGGCAAGGGCCACGTAACTATCCGCTAGCTTCAGTGAGTCCTACATTTACTCTGTAACTGCAAAGAAAACTACAGTAACGTGTCTGGTCATTATTATCACCTGTGTAGGAGAGTGTGAAAACCTTCAGTGGCCACAGAAATTATCTGTCACTAAATACTGCAGAAACTGAGTTGGGTCCCACAGTGATTATTTAAATTCCCAAAATCTAATAAGGAGAAGTATATCTTCCCAGTGGTCTCAGTCTCTCATTTTGACCCACAAAGATTGGTATCAAGCCTGACAGAGGTCTGACTTGTCAGTACCAAGAGGTGATAATTTCCTAATAAATCCTGTGAGAGTTCTCATTAAGGCGGCTTGGCTTCAGCAACCTTACAGAATACATGTGTCCCCTGCTGTTCAACTACTTTGTGGTGGAGCCCTCAACAGCAGCTGCAGATTTTTGGGCCGCATGCATCGTCAGGGCATCCACCATGAAATATGGTGATGCAAGGATTCAATCATCTGGCGGCCAGGTGAGTCCTCCCACCCTGTGCGGGCGGTAGAGAAGCGGCTGTGTGCTGGGAAGGAGGAAGAGTTTGTGAAGCCCTCTTGCCCTGGAGATTGGCTCACTTTGTTCTCCGTGGCAGTGGAGTCAACAGCAAATTTAGAATTTAGTCCGTTTCAGGCTTTTGTATTGTGAAAGAATTCTTTGAAGCTGGAAACAGGTTATCTTCGGGTTTTTATGGGTGCAAAAAAATACTTGCCAGATTATTTGCCACAGTAGAAAAACATGCTAGACGTGACTTGCAACCTTCACTTGAACTCAGGCTGTTCTTTTCCAAAGTCTAGCCAGCTCTGCAATTATCCTCTCATATTCATCCAATCTATTTCATTAGTGACCTTTAGTTAAATTTCAAGTGAACTATTGAATGCATTTGGACAAAATCCAGTTGTCTTCCTTTCCCCCCAATTCTGAATCATGTGAAAATTAAAATAGATATTTCTCACAGTAGATACAGGCAACAAGAGAAAAG